GGGTGGATGGGTGGATGGACGGGTGGGTGGGTGGGTGGATGGGTGGATGGGACGGTGGGTGGATGGACGGGTGGGTGGGTGGATGGATAGGTGGATGATTGGGTGGGTGAAATGGCTTAAGCTAGAGAACAGAGAGCAGTTCGGGCAAAATACCATCCATTTGTCTAATTTGTGAAATGAGAGAACCCAGCAAGGAGGAACATCACACACACACACACACACACACACACACACACAAACGCCGTCTGACCTTAGAGCTTGTGATCTTTGCAACAGCCCACCTCTCGAGGCAAGTCTTGATCTGGCGAAGTGCTTGCAAGTGGCCAAGCAGTTCTGTGACCCTGACCAAGTCCCCATCCTCTTTGGACCTCAGCCTGGAAGCAAAGGCCCTCCCTCCCTTTCCAGTTTTTAAGAACAGCCCCTCAGGGACCCCAGGCTTTGGCCTACCTCAGCCCTACCTTGGATGTGGGTCACGCGCTGGGGGTGGGGGTGGTGTCGGGAGAAGAAGGAGTGGTGGCTGAGACGGCCAAAGCGATAGGCGCCGGGGGACTGGGTCTTAGGGGGCTTCGGTGGCTCTTGGATCGGCTCAAAATCCACAGTGCCTGGGGTCACCAGTTCTTTCTGTGGCCCGTCATCCACTTGGCTCCTTGGCTTGTCCTCAGGCTTCTTCACGGGCTTCAGCTCAGCCTTTGGACTGAAGGAGAGTGTCAAGGAGGAGGTAATGGGGGGCTCCATTGTCTGTATGAGCCCCCCACAGTGGTGCGCATCTGAGCTCAGAACTCAGTACTTCTTACATGAGTCCTGGTTTCTAGCATCGCACTAGCACCCTATAGCACCCCCCAAGTCAGGTGTCTCTGAAAGTCCTTTCCCAATTGGTATAACCCAATCCCAGAGAACCTTTTACCTTCCTGAAATACCTTAGCAGGGAGCTACTATCCCATTGGGAGAACTCAGATGAGCTCTCCCAACATCCCAGTTTCTCCCCAGAAACCATCTCTAAAGCCAGAGAGAGAAATCACAGACCCACCTACACATCCAAACACCTGGGATGGAGAAAAGACCCATTATATATACTTTCAGGCCCAGGGGGCTGACCCCAGCAAGGGTATATCCCCAAGCCAAACTGCTGGCAGCCCAGAAGTCAACTACAGGTGGTCACCCTCCCACCGAGCCCTCTCGGGTTAGTCTTGGCCCAGACTCAGCTTGCAGGGATCAGAGCTGGAACCAAACCAGACCACACCACCAAGTCTCTCCTGCAGGGCCCCCTCCCTGGAGCTACAGAGCTGGAGGTCTCAGGCTGTGACGCTGCAGGGAAGCATCAAGCTCTCCTGGCTTGGCTTCCCTGGAGCCAGCTCAGGTTCTCTGCCCTCCACCCTGCAGCCCTCCTTGCACTGAGATGCTGTACTTTTTCCCCTCCAGGAAGAAAGCAAGGTCGGGCCCTGCAAGGATCCAGGCTGAGCTGCTGCTACCTGGGTCCCGGTGGTGCCACCTGCCTGCTCAAAGGCTGTTTGTCCTTCTCCTTGTGGCCCTGCAAAGGAGTCTCTTTGGAGGAGAACAGACGAACTCTGGATATGTTAAGTAAGGCTTTGGGTGCGGGGACATTTGGAGGATCATGCTGATCAGGCTCCTGAGATTCCTGTTCCAGCTTCGGCTCATCTCTAAGAGTCTTGGGACTTAAAGAAATAAAGCACATCTCGAAAGCAGCAGTTAGCCGGCCTCCCTTATCCCCAAGTAACAGAGGAATCCACACCCTGAAATCAAATACCTGTGCTCAGCTTCTGCCCCCAGCCACCAAGGCCTCTGGTTCCCCAGAGGCCTGCTAACTGGGGCCTGAGAACCCACTGGGGGGCTGGTTGATGACAGGAAAGGTGAGGAGAGACTGTTTATCTTAAATCTCCAGTCTGCTAAGTTGTCCCAGACTACTTTGTCTTCCCCTCCCACCCCTACCCCACCTCTGTGGTCAGCGGGATGGGGCCTTACCTCACCAGTGGTTCCTGGGCCAATTTGGTCACCTCCGTGGTCATTTTAGGGTTCAATGGAATAAAGACCTGTACACATAATACTAGTGCTGAAGACAGATGGCAGGGCTCTCACAGACTGGTGATGGGAGTGTGCACCCAAACACTCTGGGGGACACGACAGCATCTTGCAAACGTGTGCATGTCTTATCACCCAGCAGCTCCTCTCCCAGACACGTGCCCAACAGATGTGCCACTGGGACTATTTGCAAAAATGTTCAATTTCAGATTGTTCCAATAAGCAAAAACATGGTGATAATCCAAATGCCCAGTGCAGAAGAATGGATAAACAAGCTGTGGTGATTCAGACAATTGAACGTGGTATCGCAAGGAAAGTGAATGAACCATAGTTATAGTCATTGCATTGATGCATCTAATCAGTAGATGTAACTTAGAGGGAATCTTGTGAAAAATGAAGTTCAAAAGCAAAAAAAAAAAATCATAAACTTGATAAAACAAGGAAAAGACAAATGTTAATGACAAAACTCAGCCAGCAGCTATTTATGACAGGAGGAGGATGAGGGAGGAGACAAGACTCGATAGTGGTGATTTTCTAGTTTGTGGTTTGAGACATTATTTACAGATGTTCACTAAATTATTAACTAAACAAATGAAGTTCAAAGGATGAAGGCTGATGGATATCGAACCTAAGCATTGTGATTAACCTAAATTCCTGGACCTGAATATCTTTATCTCTAAAATGCTGGGGTTGCAGGTGCCAGAAATGGGTTTGGGACAGGAAGTCAGTGCACTCTTCAAATTAACCCTCAGAATCACAGAATCTCCCAGGGCCAAACTTTATTAACTTGGTAGGGAGAGTGGGGAAGCACTCTCTGGGATGGGGAGAGAGGAGACTCTTTGAGGTCACCCAGCAGGGAACCAGGCATCCCATTCAAAGTCTCTTTCTTGAAAATAGCAAGAGTTCTTCCTTTTGAGGAAGACATTCCTGATGGGGGTGGGGTGGAGGCCCTGGGCCCTAAAACACTTAGATCCACAGACTGAGGACAGCCCAAACCCACCCGCCAGTAGGAAAAGATTTTTTTTGAAATGTACACTTTCAAAATGCCTTTGACTATGATCACAGTAAGCAACTCATTTTTGCCTCATGACCCAGTTCACACAAGCATGAGCGTGGGCTTGTGTACATGAAAGTGAAGCAAGGAATTCCCCAAGGCATACTTACCCTTGCTACATAGGATGCATATTCAGATCTTCTTTCTACTTTTGGTTTTCATTTTGTAAATGTTAGACGTGAACCCACTCAATTGATTGTATAAGCCATGAATGGGTCACACCCCATAGCTGCTGTAGAGAGGTTAAAAGAGACTTGAGCAGGCCAGGTTTGCCTTTTCCAGGTTGGGACAGGCTGAGCCCACTGCCCCTGCCCTGTCTTCATTTCTCTTACCCTCTAGGCCCCCAGGCAGCCAGGCCAAGAGGAGTCATTCAGATGCTCAGATCGTTTCTGAAAGGAAACTTCAATTTCCCCATCTCAACTCCCCTAGGCCCCAGCTTTACCCTCTTCCCAGGCTCCTATCTGGCTGCAGTGTTCATTTTCTCCCCTGGAGAGATCCCTGGACTCACCGAAGGCAAGTGCCCGTTATAGAATGTGGGTAGGAAGCCCCTGCTGCCTGGGCAGGAAGGAGCCAGAGAACCAGTCACCGAGAAGGCTCCTTGGTTCTGTGGGCAAGCCTGTCTGCTTTGTGACTGCGTGAGCTAGTGGTTGCTAGGTTACCCCTTCCCCACAACTCCAGAACCACTCCCCAGCACCCCTCTCCTCATCCCCACACAGCTCCTTTTACCTCTCCTGGAGGGTAGACAGGGCTCACTGAGCACCTCTCCCACCTGATCTCCCTCTCTACCTTGCAATTGGCATTTTCACTGGGGACTAAGGAGAAAATAAGAGTCTGGGGCAGGTTCTAGCCAGCAAGTAACAGGCAGGGAGAGAAAAACTGGCAAAGAAAGTTGGCAGGGTTGGACCCCAGCTTTGTCAGACAGAATGGACCTGATGCTGCCATGGGGGGTTCTGCCTCCCCACACCCAGCTTCTGAGGACTGACGCGCAGAGAGCCATCTCTTAGGCAGAGAGAAGAAGCCTGTGAAAGTGACTCAGGGCATCCGTCCCCCCATTCCAGACAGGATAACTGGTGGGAAGGTCCTGGGCTTTCCGATGGCCAAGAGTTTCAATGTGTCACAGCGTAGTAGTGTCACCTTGGGGAAGTCCCTTGTATGCCTGGAGGTTCTGAACAATGATAAGAATTCTCAGTTCAAATCACAGTCCCGACGCTTCCTAGCAGACAATCTACCTGAGGTCTTCGAGCCTCAGTCCTGTGGTTCTCAAATGGGAATGCTACTTGCCCTGATTTTCACAGCGTTTGGGGGAAGATTGACAATGCACAGGAAAGCATCAAGAGTGAACTCTCACTGTGGCGCCTCTATACTTACAAAATGGGGTACCTTACCTACTTATGAAAGATGTCTTAAAAGACAAAAGTAATAAGGAACATGAATCACCTAGCCATAACCCCGCTGCACAGTGGGGCTCAGAATTGGTGACCATAAGAATTATTATTATTATTATTATTTTTAAAGATTTATTTATTTGTACATACAGAACT